TTTTGGGCCCGTTGCCCCCTGTCCGGTCACTGGCCACCACTGAGCAGAGTCTGGCCCCATCCTCTTGACACCCGCCCTTTAGATATTGATCAGCATTGATGAGATCCCCTCTCAGTTGCTCTTCTTCAGGCTGAACAGACCCAGCTCTCTCAGCCTTTCCACAGCACAGAGATGCTCCAGTCCCCTCATCATCTTCATCACCCTCCTCTGGACTCTCTCCAGTAGTTCCTGGTCTTACTTGATCTTTGCTCTGCAATAGCTCATCCCACAGACCCGGGGCTACGTACTGGCTCAGCGGCAAGTCCTCGATCTCCAGCAGAACCCCCTTCTCAAAGAGCCGGGCTGCCGTGTAGTGCAATGACTGCAGCTTCTTGTTCTTCTTGCTGACCCTTGAAGAGAAAGGACAATATCAGAGCTGGTGTCCAGCCACACACGACCCCTCACACCCCCAACATCTCCAGGACCCACATCATCCAGATAACCATGGAAAAGAAAAAATAATATTTTTTAAATTATTGGGTTTTTTGTAACAAAACACACTTGTTGGCTGCCAGGTTGTCGAGGCAGGTCTTGATGTACTGGTTGTAATAATCAATTTGCTCCTCATAAAACAAAGTCTTGGCATTGAGGCCCTCCAGGGTCTGCCTCAGCTTCAGCAGCTCCCCTCTGCGGTGCTGCCGGTAGCGCCTCTGGTTGCGGATGTCCTGGAGGAAACAAAGCCAGACAGGAAACCTAAATAACTCATCCTGAGCTTTATTGAGGCACCAGAGCAGGATCTTCCCGGGTGGGTTTAGAGGTGACCTCCCTCAGTCTCCCCCAGCACACCTTGGCCAGCTCGTTGATGAGCTCCTGGTACTGGTGGGCAGAGTCCACGAGCCCCAGGCTCTCCAAGCGCCGCAGGTTGCGGATGATCTTGCGTTTCTTCTCCTCCATGGACAACTGGCTGTTAGCAACCAGGGAGCGGTGGCGTTTCAGCTTGGCAGGGGTCTGGGCGTCCTGCAGCGCTCGCCTGTGCATGAGATGGTCGTGGGAGGCTTCCTGGGGATGAGAAGGGGGTGAGCCTGGCACATGGCTGGAATGGGACATGAGGAGATGGAGCAATCAAACCCCCTCCCACACACACTTTGATACGAGCTTTTTACTGAGGGCTTGATGGCCATTTCCCCAAAAAGTCTTTTAGCTCATCCCCAGCAGCAGCCTCGTGCATCCCACCTCGTGCTCAGAGGCCGGTGTCCACAAGATCTCTGGGAGGGAATCTCCTGGCTGGGACTGGATCACGTCCACCAGCATCTGCTTGGTGCTAGAGACCAGAGGGAGAGGTCAGGCATCCACTCTGGACCATCACCCTCCTCCACCAGAGCAGCACGTTATTTAGTTTCTTCCCAAGGTTTTCTTGCCCCAGCTTGAGCATCCCAACTGGTATCCCAACCCCCAGCAAGCTCCTCTGAAGCCCACAGAGACCATCCTCACCTCAGCAGCAAGCTCCTCGTGTCGCTCTCCTCGCTGCTGGCCGCTGGCATGAGCTTGCCAGTGAGGGTGAGGGAAATCTCCATTTTGCTGAGCTGGGAGAGGACCTGCTCGGCACTGCTGTCCCCTGGGCTGGGAGCAGTGTCCCCTGCAAGGGCAGAGAGAGCCCTGGTAGCCATGTGGGGCTCAGGAGAACTGGTTTCCACATGCCCAAAGCAATCCAGCTAGAGCTTCATGCAAGAGAAGCATCCTGATCTCCATGCTCCTCCTGCCTGGGTGGGTGGTGGACCCCAGATCTCTACCTACCGACAAGGGACTGGACTGTTGGAAGTTCATCAAGATCTTCCAGAAGCTCATGGAGGGGGTCACCGTGGTGCGGCGCGATGGAGTCCTGGTGCTCGAGCAGGAGCTGGATGGTGCAAGGGAGGAGAGTCAGTGGCAAAGGCCAGGTAGGAACAATGCAGTGTCCTTTGTACCCAGGAAGGGACTGCCAAGTTATGAGGTTCAGAGTAGGACAAGTAGTGGAGAATCTGCAGAATCTGAACCTCATAACTTGGCAGATTTTATTTTATCTTCTTACTTAAATAGGAAAAAATCAAATAAAATAAAATAAAAAAGGCCATGAGGAGCTGTGCTGGTGGTGGGATGGAGAAGAGCATGATGAAATGTGATGAAATGCAGCAGAAAGCCCAGGAGGTAGAAGTGGAAGAAATGAAAGAATAGATGAGTTTTATGACCTTACCTTGTGGGTGTTGATGAGCTCCCCCACTGTGATGTAGATGACAGGTTTGGCCATGGCCACCATCTCCGAGTACTCATCCACATTAAACCTCTCTTCTGGCTCAGGGACACAGCAGGCAGCAGAGATGAACCTCCTGCAGAGAAGGACCTCTTTGATCAGCCCCAAAACCCTGTCATTGGCTGGTAGCTGCCCTCCCACCCCGATGCCATCTTGGTGTCCACCTGAACTTGTTGTGGGTGTCCTCCAGGTACTGGTTCACCCCGCAGAGATGTGCGTTCTCCCCATCGAAGGCCTTGCGGGCGGCCGCGTGCTGCAGCACTTTGGCGATGGAGCCCAGGTTGCGGCGGTGGTCGGGATGCAGAGTCACCCCAGCTGAGATGTCCACGATGTCAAAGCCATCGGGGGCCACCACCGCTGGGTTCATGAAGCGGTAGTAGAGTAGGTTCCCCACGATCTAAGGCACAAGACAGGCTGGGTGTTGGGGAGCACACAGGCTGGTGTCCAAGGAGGGGGTAGCTCAGCAGGGAAGGTTCTTTTGTCCTCGCACTGCCCAGAGGGACCCTCCCAGAGGGGACAGCAGCACAGAGAAGAGCCCACCATTGACATTGGTTTAGTGCCTCTATAGAAATATTGACTTGAAAACATTTTTAAGTCAAGAAGACTTGACCTTCTGTGGACGGCTACTGGCCCTTCACACACATGCACACACACAGTTGAACACCACCAGACAGCCCAGCCCCAGGGTACCTTGTCAATCTCCTCCACCGAGGCCTTGGGGAATTTCTCAGTCAAGGATGTCCTCAGGATTTTGGCCACGTAGCGCATCCCATAGCTGAGGAGAAGGCAGCGAGAAGTCTGTCAACATGCGGGGCAGCACCGGGCTCAGCCACCCTGCCCCACCCTTACTAGCCAAGAAGCAACAAGCTCTCAAGCTTTGGGATGATGGAGGAGCCCATAGGAGGGGCTGGTGGCTGCAGTATCCCTCAGCCCTACCCTGCTGCCAGCCCAGATGTCCCTGGAGGAAGCCTTCATCCTCCACGATTACCAAAAAGCTCAGCTTCTTCCTTGCAGACACCACAACACCAGTCGGAAAGCGCTCAGAAATGGGGTGGCAAGAAGGACCAGCCCACCAGGCCATCACTAGAGGAGCAGAAGCACCCACTGATATTTGGATTTCCCCTTGTTGACGGTGCAGTAACTCAGTCCTGCAGCAGCTGAGGGACTGGGAAGCTTCTCATCACCCAACCTCTCTTTCTATGGCCTTGCTGAAGTTACCTTCAAGCCAACAGCGCTGCAGGGATGGGCTTACAAGCCATCGAGATACATACGGGATCTTGTCTACAGAAGAGGTGATGGCAGAGACAAACTTGTCCGTCATCGCCAGGAGGTTGCGGATAGAAATATCCAGCCGCCTTTGGACCTCGGGGTGGCTGAGAGCCTGCTCAGGGCTGACCTCATATGGGAGCTTGCTGTGGATGGAAGACAAGGTCCTCATCACCATCCCAGCCCCGCCCCCCGCCAGCCTGTGGTCAGACTAAGCCTCCTTGCCCAAGGCCTGACCTTTTCTGCCCGCTCTGCGACTCGGTCTGGTTGATCCATGCCTTGTAGATGTCCACTGGGTTGGTGCGGATGCTGAGGGTCTTGTCCTGCAGGACCTCCTGCACCGGGCCACCCAGGATCTGCCGCAGGGCGTTCTGCCCACGAGCGTTGCGGTAGAAGCTGACCACCAGCCGGATCACCGTGGCATTCCCTGTCAGGATGTCATGGATGTGGTCCACCTTGGACCTGGGGAAAGAGATGGGATGGATAGGATGAAGGGGATGGACCAGTGTGTTTGTTCTCCAATGCAGGAGGCAGGAGTCAGATGAGATAACTGCGTCCGAGCTGATGCCCCTGGTCCAGCCTTTTCTCAGACCTGTCCCCAAAGTGGGACAGCCATGGTCACCCACCTGATCTCCTCCTGCAGCGCTGCTTTGAAGAGCTGGAGCAGCAGGTAAGCCTCGCGTGGGTTGGAGGCGTAGTTGTAAAGCGTAAAGATCACCGACTCCATGAACTTGGTGGACTTGTTCTGGGGCATCTGGAAGATGAGCCTGGCCAAGTACATAGGCTGGGTCTGCAGGGATGAGGAACACCAAGCTAATCCCAAGTGTCATGGGGTGGTGGGGATCCAGCGTCCCCACATTGCTCCCCCAGCTGTAGGGGACACAGCAGAGCCCACCAGCCCTACCTGCAGCAGGTAGAAGAGGTGCTGATAGGCCTCCAGCTTCTGCCGCTTCTCCTTGCTGAGCGACTTGAGCCCCTTCTGCTTGTCTATGGACATCATCTCTGAGAGCTGCTCCTTGTTCTTCTTGGTCAGCTTCTTGCAGTGGGAGACCACCTCCTGGAGCAAGGAGAGAGAAGTGTTGGTGACTGCCAGCAAGCTCCAGCATTCAGCCCAGCTTCTGGGGAAAGGGAGCCAGAGGCACCTCAGTGCTCACCAACCCCACCAGCCACTTTAAAAGCAAGGTAGAGAGAGTTCAAGTTGTGATGCCAAGGAGGGGAGGACCAGCTCTGTGCTGGCAGAACAGCTCTGGGCACTGTGGTAAGGACACATGAGGTGGCAGATGTCCCCCCACACTCCCCACCTGCAGAGTGATCCTGTTCTTGACCAGCAGACCAATCTTGATGTCCATGAGGTCCAGGTCGCTCTCCAGCTGTCGGTTAGCACGGATCCTCTTCACCACCTCCTCCTGCAGCCGCAGCACCTCCGACTCCTCCCAGAAGTCATGCTGGCTCTGCTCCAGCAAGTGGATGAAGCGCCGGACGATGCTCAGGGGTGGGCTCCTGGTGTGGACTGCAGGAAGGCAGTGCCACCATGAATGCTCATGGGGAAGACCAAGCAGCTGCTCCCACTGTGGACCCTCAGACCCCCAGCATGTCACCAAGACACCCCATCCTCCTCCCCCAAAAAAGCATTTCCTTGCAACAGCTGGACACACACAAGTGCTGGGTTCAGTGTTGGGCCCCTGACTCCAAGAAGGACATGGAGGTGCTGGAGCGTGTCCAGAGAAGGGCAACGGAGCTGGGGAAGGGTCTGGAGCACAAGTGTGCTGAGTTCCTGGCTGAGGGAACTGGGGCTGTTGAGCCTGGAGAAAAGGAGGTTGAGGGGAGACCTTCTGGCTCTGTCCAAGTCCCTGCAAGGAGGGTGGAGAGAGGTGGGGGTGGGTCTGTTCAACCAAGGCCCAAGGGACAGGACAAGAGGAAATGGGCTCCAGTTGTGGCCAGGGCAGTTGAGATGGGATGTGAGGAAGAATTTCTTTGCTGCAAGGGTTCTGAGGCATTGGAAGGGGTTGCCCAGGGCAGTGGTGGAGTCCCCATCCCTGGAGGGATTGAAGAGTCGTGTAGACACAGTGCTGAGGGACAT